TCTCTCTCTCTCTCTCTCTCTCTCTCTCTCTCTCTCTCTCACGCACACACACACACACACACACACACACACACAGAGAACTATTTGCTACACACACTTTGACCATTTTGCAAAACAAACAAATTAGCTACAAGAACAATTGCCTTGATTACCAAGATGTCATTCTTCCTGCATATAAGTTCATACTTTTTTTAACAGTTTATTTATACTATATATTTTTATATTACATACATAAATGCTTAGTGAACAGTATATTGTCTGGATCAATACAATATACAATAATACTCTTCCCACTCTTAATTTCTACCTCTACTGTCCAATCATTTATAAAACAAGTCCCATGTTTGAAAATATTCTGTATCTTCTTTTACTTTTACTTTTAATGTCAATCTAACCATTTCTGCACAATCTAAAAAAAAATTAATTACGTCATCCTCTGTGAATGTTTCCTCATTTTCCCAATATTGTGCATATACAATTCTTGCTGCTGTCAAGACATGTAATATTAAATATAGATTCCCTTTATCTTACTTTTCAAGTATTATACCTAGCAAGAATATTTCTGGCTTTTAATAAGTTCATACTTGAATGTTGTGATAGTGATATGACAGCATAATTTTACAGCCAGGTCTTCTAACAGCTGCAATCAGGGTCATAGGTGTAGAAAGTACACTGCTCAAAAAAATAAAGGGAACACAAAAATAAGACATCCTAGATCTGAATGAATGAAATATTCTTATTAAATACTTTGTTCATTACATAGTTGAATGTGCTGACAACAAAATCACATAAAAATTATCAATAGAAATCAAATTTAGCAACCCATGGAGGTCTGGATTTGGAGTTACACTCAAGATTAAAGTGGAAAAAAACATGTGTGGCCTCCACATGCCTGTATGATCTCCCTACATGCCTGGGCATGCTCCTGATGAGGTAGCGAATGATCTCCTGAGGGATCTCCTCCCACACCTGGACTAAAGCATCCCTCAACTCCTGGACAGTCTGTGGTGCAACGTGGCATTGGTGGATGGAGAGAGACATGATGTCCCAGATGTACTCAATTGGATTCAGGTCTGGGGAATGGGCAGGCCAGTCCATAGCATCAATGTCTTCATCTTGCCTTCGTCTTGCAGGAACTGCTGACACACTCCAGCCATATGAGGTCTAGCATTGTCTTGCATTAGGAGGAACCCAGGGCCAACCGCACCAGCATATGGTCTCACAAGGGGTCTGAGGATCTCATCTTGGTACCTAATGGCAGTCAGGCTACCTCTGGTGAGCACATGGAGGGCTGTGCGGCCCCCTAAAGAAATGCCACCCCACACCATTACTGACCCACTGCCAAACCGGTCATGCTGGAGGATGTTGCAGGCAGCAGAACGTTCTCCATGGCGTCTCCAGACCCTGTCATGTCTGTCACATGTGCTCAGTGTGAACCTGCTTTCATCTGTGAAGAGCACAGGGAGCCAGTGGCAAATTTGCCAATCTTGGTGTTCTCCAGCAAATGCCAAACGTCCTGCACAGTGTTGGGCTGTAAGCACATCCCCCACCTGTGGACATTGGGCCCTCATGCCACCCTCACGGAGTCTGTTTCTGATCATTTGAGCAGCCACATGCACATTTGTGGTCCACTGGAGGTCATTTTGCAGGGCTCTGGCAGTGCTCCTCCTGTCCCTCCTTGCACAAAGCCAGAGGTAGCAGTCCTAATGCTGGGTTGTTTCCCTCCTACGGCCTCCTCCACATCTCCTGATGTACTGGCCTGTCTCCTGGTAGTGCCTCCATGCTCTGGACACTATGCTGACAGACACAGCAAACCTTCTTGCCACAGCTCGCATTGATGTGCCATCCTGGATGAGCTGCACTACCTGAGCCACTTGTGTGGGTTGTAGACTCTGTCTCATGTTACCACTAGAGTGAAAGCACTGCCAGCATTCAAAAGTGACCAAACCATCAGTCAGAAAGCATAGGAACTGAGAAGTGGTCTGTGGTCACTACCTGCAGAACCACTCCTTTATTGGGGATGTCTTGCTAAGTGCCTATGCTTTCTACCAGTTGTCTATTCCATTTGCACAACAGCATGTGAAATTGATTGTCAATCAGTGTTGCTACCTAAGTGGACAGTTTGATTTCATAGAAGTGTGATTGACTTGGAGTTACATTGTGTTGTTTAAGTGTTCCCTTTATTTTTTTTGAGCAGTGTATAACTATATGCTTATGTATCAAAGGCAGAGTAAAAATAAAGACTTGCTTGAATGCAGAGATTGGAAAGTGCTTACAATATAATGCAAGAAAACTCAAATGAAAGACTCAAAGATTGAGAAATTGACTACAGAGTTCTAAATTCAGGCTGCAGGCAATGGGGTAAGATAAAGAGTTCAACAAATAGGAAAAAAGCTCACACCAATTTTGCTATTTGATCTACACCACAGCCAAGTCAGAAGAAAATGAATTTGACTATCTAAGGAAGCCCTAACCATATAGGACTAGCCCCACATATTTCATGCATTAAAGGTATTTAAGATCAGGGGTGGGATTCAAATTTTTAACAACCGGTTCTGTTGGTGTGGCTAGGTGGGCGTGGCTCACCGGGTGTGCCATATGACTGGATGGGCGTGGCTTCTTCCTTTTCTTTTCTTTTTTTTGCAGCATTCCCCCCGCCTTTCTGGGCCTCAGGGAAGCCTCCTGGGCGAAGCAGTAAGACAGTGAGGGGGATCCCGGCACAACTGATCATCAGAGCAATCATCAGAAAATGCAGTCAGCGATGTCGGGCATGCGCACGATGTTGCGCATGGTGATGAGGACTAACTGAGAGGGGCAGAGAGGGGTGGGGCCAGACAGGGACACAATTTGCCAGTTCTCCGAACTGTGAAGAATCATAACAACCAGTTTTATAGAACTGGTAGAATCCTACCCCTGTTTAAGATGTTACTCAACTGGTTTTGCCACCCACAATGCTCCACGCCCCATACATTCTGTTTAACAGTAGGACTTCTAAGTAGCAGTAAGTTGCTCATTTGACCACATCTATAGGATCTATTCCTTCCTTCCTTCCTTCTTTACATACATACATACATACATACATTCCTCTATCACCCTCCCTCTTCCTGCAAACTATGTGGACAATTCCATGCAATTTTCTTGGCAATATTTTTGGAAGTGGTTTACTATATTCCTGTACCATTGAGCTAGAGTCAATTTCCCAATATCACCCTACTGGCTTCATGCCTAAAGAAGACTAAAACTGACAAGTTCCTTTTTTCTAGTCCAATACTTTTATTCACCACACCAAACTGGCTCTCCTTTTCATGCCTTATTGTTAAGTACATATAGTCACTATTGTAATAAATTAAGTGCTGATGGTTTTGCCCCTCAAATTTAAGGCTGATTTAATATGTGGTGATTCCTTATCTTCAAGAGCAAAGATGGGGGGGAATGGTAGGTTGGACTACCAGAAACTTTGCACCACTAATGGGTTATCTTGTATCATTCCCCACTATGAATATTTAGTTCATAACCTGAAAGCCTTTTGCCCTGTCCTGATTCTCTAGAAAAGGGCAGTCTGATTCTCACGTTTCAGATCAGGGAAAGTAAAATATAGATCTAGATGTACTGATAGTACCTAAAATAAATTATTAAGGATTTTAATTTTATAGCGAAGAAGAAATCAGAATAGTTGTTCCATCTATTCCAATTATTTTGCTGAGATCAAAAAAAACCCTTACACATATTTAGGTATGTAACGACTATAAACTCAAAACAACTCTGAAACTCACATCAAATTCTGAGATTCAGAATTGTTTATTTCAAGGTTTACTTCCTCTTCTAATGTGTAAATTTTAGAAATTTAGTTATTGTATTTTTTTACAAAACTAACCTATGGTTTAGTATCTCTGCTTCACAATTTATTGTGATTATATCTGGCAGTTAAGATCTAGAAAAATATCCACAGTTCTACTTGCTTAAAAAGTCATTTGTAGATAATATTTTTAGTATGAAATCACTTTATTGTAATTTCCCCTGTTATATCAAGAATTGGTTCCCACATCTTCTCTGAGACTCACTCTCATTCATGACTCTGTTAAAATTCTGCTTACCAAGCTGCTGTGTAAAGAAATCCCAGAACTGCTCCTACAACTTCATATTTTGTTAAAAGACATACAAAGAAAGGGTATGAGGAGATGCCGACTTCAAAAGCCGTGAGGAGGATCCAAAATACTGCAGAAGAAAGGACATAAATATATCTTTATTCAATTGTTCAGCAGTGAATGATTGAGAAAATTGTTATGACAGCCATTGACCAACCAATATGGAGCTGACAACAGTAATAAGACAACATGTACTGTTATTAGCTCTTTAAACTTTGCTGAATTTTATAGACTACAAAACCATTTTTGCATCATTTAGAGAAACTGATATATTTTTGTCAAAATAAATATTTCAAATTAAAGAAATCTCAGTGCAATTTGACAATTTTATTAATGGGATTATGAGGTAAAAGTTGTTATTTTTGTAACACTTATAACACAATGAGAACTCTAAATTGACCAGGCTCAAATTATCCTACTTCAGACACATTATGCAAAGACCTAGCTCCATAGAGAAGGCCCTAATGCTGGGAAAGGTAGAAGGAAACAGAATAAGAGGACAATCACTAGCGAAGATTACTTGAGACCTTCAAAAAGAGATTGGACTGCCATTTGTCAGAAATGGTGTAGGGTCTCCCGCTTGGGTGGAGGGGTTTGGACTAGATGACCTATAAGGACCCTTCCAACTCTGATTATCTGTTATCTGAAGAGGATGAACTCATCCGGCATAATGGTGATGAGTGCACCAGGTTAGAGACAGATTGTCTTAGAGAAGATCTATCTATCTCAGAGTAAAAAATGACTTGAAGGGACATAATCAATCTATGTACATAACCATATAGCCACCATGAAACACATTTAATTGACAAGAGTCTTTTTCTATTTTTACTATCATTACCACCTATTAGGCTTTAAAACTGAAAGTCAGCAGAGAGGAAACATTGTGTTAGAAGGAGGAATTTGAAGAAGGAAAGTTAAGAAGAGCTTATAGCGCTTTTCTCACTAATTGTTATTTCCCTATCAAGAAACCTCTAACCCACAAGTTATTTGCTTATACCTATGGTTTGACATGTTGCAGAGGTTAGAGCCTTATCTTCAGTCCCAAATAAGCATGCATGCTCCTAGAAACAGATATTTGATGTTATGGTGTTACAAGGAGGAAGGCTTTAAATGGCTATGTATTTATCCTGGGGAGGCTTTGCCTACTCTTACCATCTCTAACGCTGATGCCACTTGCCACTGCCTTTATAACTTGTCCTATTTGCTCTAAAATCTAGCCCTCACTGCGCTCCTGAGTAAACTAATTTTCTGGAATCCAGATAACCTTAAGATTAAAAAATAGCTAAACAGAAAAATTGGACAATACAAAGATACAGGGTTCCTCTACTGCTCTTATCACTTGTTAATCATGAATTTTACCTTTAGCCCATTCAGGAAGTCCCACTGGAAAGAACTCTTTCTCAAATAGAAACATGATTTTATCAGTAGTAGCACCAAATGCAAATCCCAATGACCATCGGTTGTTGATTGAGTTGTAAAAGTCCAGGGGGCTGTAAAATAATGAAAAGAAATCTTAAGACATTGAGACCCTTTCCAAAAAAGGTTGAGACACTAGAAAAAGTGCAGAGAAGAGGATTAGGGGACTGGAGGCTGAAACATACGAAGAACGGTTACAGGAACTGGGCTTGGCTAGTCTAGTAAAGAGAAGGACCAGGGGAGACATGATAGCGGTCTTCCAATATTTGAGGGGCTGCCACAGAGAGGAAGGGGTCAAGCTATTTTCCAAAGCACCTGAAGGCCAGACAAGGAATAATGGATGGAAACTGAACAAGGAGAGGTTCACCCTGAAAACAAAGAGACATTTTCTGACAGTGAGAATACTCAACCAATGGAACAGCTTCCCTCAGAAGTTGTGTGAGCTTCATCACTGGAAGCTTTCAAGAACAGGCTGGACTGCAATCTGTCAGAAACAGTGTGGGGTCTCCTGCTTGGGCAGGGGGTTGGACTAGATGACCTACAAGGTCCCTTCCAACTCTGTTAATCTGTTAAATCATAGTTATAATAGTTTCCAGTCAATCTTGAACCAGTGGAGAATTACACTGGCATTAAATTACTAATCCCAATAAAGGAGAATATTTGTAGTTCAGAGTTGAAATGAGGAGTTCTTGGTTCTCTCTGATTATAGCGGTACTGATGATGTTACCTTGGGTGGGTAATGAAATATCTGCAAGAAAATAACCGAGCACCAATGACACAGAATTACTAATTCTTTATCTTAGCTCCATTGTTTCTGTCCCAGTTATTGCCTTCCATCCAAGTTAAAGGAAGTCAAATCTTAACAGTTTCTAGGCAGCTTGAAGCTCTCCTTGAATGGTACCGGTATAAGGAAGAAAAAGAGTTCTTAAACATTTGTACAGTAACAAAAAAAGTGGAGTTCATCTTACATCAGATGAATTGGTAATAAGTAAAGGCAATATCACAGGGACACTGCAGGAAAAAAATGTCCCTGTCACATGTTTGTGCTGTATTTGGATGCAAGCAAAGTGTACTATGTCCCTTCAGATGTGCTAGATTACAGTTCCAGTGATGGCTTCCCATCTGACTAGGGTTGATGTGAGACCAAAACTAAAAGCCACAATTGCCTTAGAAAGTGTTTTTCCTGACTTCCGGTTGTCGGCTTTGCTGACAGCAGGGATTCGCCTTCTCTGAGATTCCTGCTGTGCTAGCCTCCTTGGTGCCTCCGATCCTGACGGATTTGGAGGCTAAGGCTGCCCTGTTGGGGCAGCTGAAGATAGGGGGGATCCGGACGGGGGTGAGGAGCATCGCAAACCCCGCCCCCAGCCGGCAATAACCCCCTTTTCTCAAGACGGTGCAGCAGTGGTCTTTTTATGGCCACCATAAAGAAGCCGGCAATTGGATAAAGAATGCGCAGGAGGGAGAAGGCGTTTTCTTTTTTTTTTAAAGAAAGTTTTTTCTTGGTCGAACTGGGACCTTAAGGATATATTTAACACCTGGGAAAGTAATGACTTGGAAGCTATAATGTTCCCGATTGATGTTTTCAGCTGCGAAGAAAAGTGACGAAAAGGGGAAGTTACTCTCCCTCCCCTATGGAATTAACAAATGGACAAGGGAAACCAGCCTTTTGGTAGAAGGTAAAACCTAAACTCCTTTGTTATAAGTGGGAAGGGAGAGGCTTGGGAAAACAAATTTTTACTCTAAGACTTTGCTGGAGGAGATGCCTTGAGAATTTTCTTTCCCTAATTTGACTTCACCCCTAGAAGAGAAACTGTAAAAAGAAGCTTCTACTCTGCCTGGACTGTTTGATGACTGTGGGACTTTGGGACTTTTGGGAACTGTTTTAAGCTTGGAAATAACTGATTGGTTTAAGAAGAGGATACAGAAAGAGAAGAAGAAACAGTTTAAAATGGCTCTATCTCTTGATGAACTAAAAAAACAATATCTAAAAACAAAGAAAGAAGGCAAAGATGTTATGGGAGAAGCCCTTTGTTTCCTAGATATGGCGCTTGCTATGTGTCAGCAAATTAAACAACAGCTGGAAGAAACCGAGGAAGAAGAAGCCATTTTTAATGAACTAAACGGTGTGACTAAGAAAGAAAGGAGAAAGAGAGGAGCGAAAAGGAAGGACTTAAGAAATAAAAAAATGTTTATGAAAGAGAAAAAGAAGATGCAAAAACAACAGAATGCTAGAAAGCAAAAGGAAAGAGGAATGCAGAAAGGGGAAATTAAGAAGGCAGAGGTTTTGAGAGGAGGGGGTAAAAAGTTTAGCCGGGCTAAGAAGGAAAGGGAAAAGGGGGGAAAAAGTTACAAAGATATAAGACAAGATGGAGATAAGGAAATTTTTTTCAGGGATAATGGGTAATATATGGGGTTTTTTTAAAAAAGGGGGGGATTCTGCAAAGTACACATGAGTATTGTAATAGTGGTAATCTGGGGCCAATTTACTTTCTAGAAGAAAGTTTTATGTTTTTTATGTCTGTGTTTTATGTGTGTGTGTTTAATTAAGAATTAAATAACAAAATCTCGGAAGAAGACTAGATGAGAATAATTATAAACAAGCCAGAGGGAAATATAAAGTTGATGACTGGATAGCAGATAAATCAGAAAGGAAATATGATTGAATAATGATTAAAGAGAAACAATGTGGAATTTGGTAAAGGGAATTTACGTGTTTATATGGAAATGGGATAAATTATAAGTATGTGATATAAAGCAATATGTTACCTGCCTTGTAAGGATCTACAATGGAAAGAGGTTTTATGTTTTTAATGTTTAATGATGTTTTGTCTTGTTTGTTTGTTTGTAAAATCAATAAAACTTGTTTAAAAAAAAAAGAAAGTGTTTTTCCTATACCTGCTTTGGATGCCATATGCTAAAGAAATGAATTGTCTGCTTTGGAATAATTGAAAGTGGTTTTCATCACAAAATATAAATATGCAAGAGATATTTGTCTGAATCGCTTTATGTTTTATGTCCAGGACCTGAAGTTGCTTTAGGCAACTGCAGTTTCTTGCAGTTTGGGTCTATGAGTCCCCAAACTTGTATGTCACAGACTGCTACTCAGAAATGCCCAGCAAGTATTGTCCAACTCACAGCAGTAACGCACAACGTCTTGGACATTTGGGATATCTGTCATCAAACCAGAATCTTTGTGCTCTCTTTTCAAGACAGGCCAGAATCAAAATGATGACAACCTGCAGGAACAGGAAAAAAAACATGATTGATATTATGAAGAACTATGATGAACCATAATGAAGTCATCAATAAATCTTGAGTATAGAAGTTATTATGGTACCCAACAATTCAGAGCTGGATACATGTTTTACCAGCCAATGCAAGTCAAAACTAGTTTAGAATCCTGAGCAAGCCTTCATCCTTCAAACCTCCTCCCAGATCCACCCAGCAGAGTACCTTGCCTAGTGCCTTGGATAGATTAAATTAAGGAATTTGATAGGTCAATTATAATTTCTCTCCTACTATAGGGTAGGAGAGCTCTGCTTTTCACATCTGTAAACACAAGCAAACATGTACTCCTTTGTAAGTTTGTTCTTGGGGCAGTGAAGCATGTACAGTAGATAAATGCAAACTTTGCCTTGTCCTAAAGGCAGCCATCTTCAACCCAATACTTAGATATGTGAGACCCAGTTTGGTCTAATGCTTAAGGCACCAGAATAGGAAGCAGAAGACCACTGAGTTCCTGACTTAGCCATGAAAGCTAGCTGGTTGATGCTGGGCCAGTGCCAGCCCCTTTCTCTTAGTCCAATCCACCTCACAGAGTTATTGTTGTGGGAAAAATTGGAGGAAGGAGTGGATATGTTCACCATCTAAGCACAGTGATTAGAATGTAGTACTGCAGGCTACTTCTGCTGAGTGCCAGATGCCTGCAATTTGGCAGTTTGAATCTCACCAGGCTCAAGGTTGACTCAGCCTTCCATTCTTCTGAGGCCAGTAAAATGAGGACCCAGATTGTTGGGGGCCATATGCTGACTCTGCAAACCACTTAGAGAGGGCTGTAAAGCACTGTGAAGTAGTGTATAAGTCTAGGTGCTATTAGTATTCCTATCTTCAGTGTTTGTAAAAATCATAACACTGGGATATAAATAAATACATAGGCATAGGCATACATTAAATAATTGCTCCCCTCATTTGCAGCTAGAACTTTTTTGCTGAGAATAATAGCAGTTGCATCTGGATTATACATCCAGAATCTGCCAGCTTTGGAAATGCTTCTAAATGGGCTTTCTACAACGAATCTAAGGGCGCATTCGTCAATCAAGACAGTCCAAGCTGTCAATGGTTGTCGGATTATTGGTCTACTTACTGATGGAATTAGCGAAAAATGTAGAAAAGTAGACGTTTCAACTGATTTTGTACAAGTATAATTTCCGTCAAAAAAGTTCCTGTTAAAGAAACATGAAAAATACAAGATTTGAATCTGTACATTTTATTTTTAAAACTACAAACGGCCATTCATACCCAAGAGATTCCAGCTTTTAATTTACATTTATTTTAATTTAATTTCCACTTTATTTACATGAAGCAGATCTATAGTAAGAGTAACATTACAGGTCAAAGGCATTAGAACTATTCAACCAGTGAACAAAAGGGCATGCAACTTTCATTAATTCAAGCACTGAAACACATTTCATGTCAAGGGCCAAATTCTCCCAAAGAGGATCTGAAAGGATAAATGTTGGGTATATGAATACACCAACTGGTTTGGGTGAATGAATATAT